CGGTTGATTTATTTTCCAGCAATATGCAATGCATTCTATGTACAGGACCTATCCGTTGGGGATGACAGCGATTCTAGAGATGAAATGGACTATGAACTTCTTATCAGAAAAATATTGGAACAGAGACTTGAACAGTCTTATAAAAACAGGCTTATTGAAGATGGACCATTTGAAAGTCATCTAAGATCGAAGGTGAGGTATATACCTGAGAGAAAATGATGCTTTGTTATATTTTGAAAGAAATAATGGATCCAATGTCTTATACACACTAGGCTGTGTGCCCTTCATTTGCGAACCCTGCCTTGTAAGTCTTCCCAGAGTTTACACAAAGTTGATCATGCGATGATCTGGAAATGATTTTGATCTGCGGCTATTTAACCAATACTTTACCAGTGTAACAATGAACTCTATATTGACACAAACCGATAAGAACGAAAAATGAAAAATTGCAACTGAGACAAATGTGATTAGAATTGTCGTATACTGCTAAAACGGAACTTCTTAGCTCATTCGTTTGAAATTAACTTCGTCTAGTGCGAACAAATGTCATAAATCTGTTTTTATATCCATGGCAATGTAAATTTACTTATCTTGTATTTTGATACATCATCTGTTATTTTATGATTACATTGCGAGGGATGTGATACACGCTGTAAAGATATCTTAATATAACTGCATCAAAAAATTGTCCCACATCACTTTTACCAAACTAAACCAACGAACATTGAAATTAGGATCTTTAAATGTTTCGTCAGACAGACAACTCGAAAGTTTCTGGGTCACTGTCGGACGTTATTTTCCTTGGAGAAGATATTAAACAATAGAGGAGTAGGATAATCAATATCCTACAATTTGAAGGATATTGGGATTATCCCGAGGCCAATATAATATATCTTCCCGAGGGCCGTAGGTCCCGAGGGAAGATATATTATATTGGCCAAGAGATAATCCCAATATCCTGAACCGACTATAGGATGATCTGTTTATCCCATACCAATCACATTGTTCAATTGTTGCAACCAATCGTGGAATTATTTTAAAATATTCATGTCCAGTTTTTTATTTTTTAATAGAACGGATTTTTCTGTTCAAATATTTGATTATTAACGGGGCATACTGCTCCTTCCCTTCTTTAAAGCATCAAACAGATCGCGATTGTTTGCGTTTTTATCCATTGTCGTTCACAGTATGCAAACATTACAAAAAAGAACCAATAGGGGAAAAGCGATTATGACGTAGCGGGCATATATACTATATCTGCCCGTATACTATATCTGCCCGCTCGGAGCGGGACGTCAAGCTATATCTGCCCGCTGATGAAAATAGAAGTTTTTACAAACCGGCTTTATGTACCCGTAACACGTCCAAGTATGGGATAAATATATATATCCTAAGTAACAGATCTGAATCGTTTTCATGAATTAGGTCAAATGGAGTTCATTGGTCACATGACATTTAAATATTAGACAAAATTATTCTTAAGCGTCGATATGTGTCCCGTTCGTGATACCAATTCTTGAGCGTAATTTGTTTTATTATAATTTGTCACCAATTAAGACTGTAAACATGTTGGTGTCTGATACGTTTAATTTGGCATATTATAGTACAATGATTTTATATTGCTTTTTTAGAAACTTTTAACAGGCAGGCGCTATGGATGATCGCCAAAATGGATGACCGATGGCTTTAACAGTAACATCTGGTCGTGTACCACAACTGTGATCCTTTAACAAATACAAGAGCGAGTGAAGCGCACCCTTAAACGCATCAAATCTAACGGCACATCATCTAAAGTACATACGTTACCCGGGTGACTTTAAAACGAACATAAATTCTATAAACCATTTCATTGACTTGAAGGAACATTAAGTGAGGGATGAACGAACATACATCAAACCAAACACATGTCTAAAACTAAAAGAAACATTGAGTGAAGGAGGCGTGAATTGATATTCATACATCAAAACAAATTATCCGTCGTAAAAAAACATTTGCTTTCTCAGATTATGAAACAGCTATGTACGAGTATATCAGTATACACCCACCAGTGTTGCAGGTTAAACATTTCAACACAATACAAATGTGTACCTTTTCTGATAGATTTTAAAATCCTAAAGGCTCAACTGATGTCTGACTCTCCAGTTTGCTTGCAATGCAGTTGTTTGCTGTCTTCCCAGCATCAATGGTGTAGTATATGGTGGCATTCTTAGTACGAGTTATCAAAGGACGAGGGAAAACATGTGGGGATTCTGGTCCTTTGAATTTGTACAGATACAATCACATATAAATAAAATAAGTAATCTAACAGCTTTTTTGTTCACAATCGTTAATTGCTTGTGATTTGGAGATCACCGAAGATGATTTGAGCTTATGACTGCAAGAACAAGCCATACGAATGTGTCCAATTTCTCATTGAATAACAGAATAAATCTTGATCTAAAGCAAAATCATATTGATATTGTAATTATTATGGTGAAGTATTCATACACTGTCAGTCGTTAACCATTCTATTATAATAAAGGTTTTTGTACCGAAATCAATAAACATTACTTTCGATAAGGTCAGTGATTTGTTATTTATTCGATTCAATGATTACCTCTTCCCTCAAAAACTAAACTGCAGATGATGGATTTCGATTGGGATTTACTAAAATGACCAATTCATTTGCATACATATTAGCGCCTAATCAGAAGCCCACCAATACTGAATAGGCCATATCTATAATTATATCCGATTATGTTAAGCTTATATAAAATGCAATTTTCATTATATGCTACAACATTGCATGTACACTGGTGAGGTGGAACAGTTGTATAAGCTCCGAGTTTAACCGATGATGATAATTTTTTGTCAAACAAAATTTTGCACAATCTAAAGTTGATAAAAAACGCTCAGATCGCATCAAATAAGTCGAAAAAAAATTCCCGGGGGAGCATACCCAGACCCCCCCCCCCCCAAGATGCGCGGCCTTCGGCCATGCAATCAGACATCAACAAGTGGGCGTGCCGACCCAAAATATAGCCCTACACCCATGTTATTATAATAACATTATCTAGAACGGAATGCATTCATTCTAAACATTTCAAATGAATTGACGTTTGTTACCAGTCGCAACTTTCAGAGGATAGTACGATTGTAAACTGTCTTGGATCAGAGAAATGACAAATCTTCCAATTTAATCCCTTACATTGTTTCCCGTAAAGCTTTGGAGAAGTGTTTTAACTGTTGTGACAAAGATTTGACAAAGATAAGAAGTCTTTTTCTTTTGTTGATACTTCAATTTAAATTATTATATTTCTACTAAACATATGTTTTTGCATTTTCTTGCATTTTGACTATTAGCCCTAGAAGCCTTAAGATTAAAAAAATCACACGAACGCCTAAGGTGGGGTCAAAAGGTTTGAAATTTACTGCGTCTCGCAAGACTCTATAAAATCGGTTAAATTCGGAGCCTGAGGACCGGCTACACTGATTAACAGCGTTTCCACTTCCAACCAGTGATATTGAGCGCTTTAAATCGGAGTCGCACAATGTAATGTTTACTCAAGTCTGTAGCTAAGGCTAGAAAACGCTATTGCTTTCGCAATATAGATAATATTAGAGGAGGGGGTAACTTACTCCCCGTGACCGTCCACAAAAAGACTGTAACAATATGTCCCCACTTGTGATGACATAACAACTGATGATGACCTACACTGTACACGCACATTCTAAAAGAGGAATATAAAGGTATGTTCAATATAATATTGTGAAGTATCAAACAAGCGAAAGCAGAATTCTAATTCAATACCCTAATGTTTGTAGTCGGAATGAAGAAATCAATGTATACTACTACAACTATACTCTACAGGTGTTTAGTGTATGCGTTTCAGGATACCATGACCATCATTATGTCACGTATGTCTCGCTCGTCTCTTCTCGATGAAGACATAACCTACATATCTTTCTGCAATAAGCCTATTTTAAAGTTTTGTGAATGTCACACGTTACGCAAACTATCGTAATAGTTCTTCCACTCTGTTAATGTTTAAAAAGCTTCGAATCGTAAATGTGCAATATTTACACGCCACTGAAGATTACCATTATTTTCATCATCGACTAGGAATCAGCCTAAGTGTTGCACCAACTATTTCAAGCAACGAAGTTATTTATATGGCCGGTAATTTGACTTTGCATTGGAATCTCACCATTCTCTAAGGAGGATGTCTATTCACCATTTTTCGAAATAACCATTCTTAAAAGAAATATAATCAAAATCTCTTTATTAACCTCAGTCACATCATGATAAACCATGACATCTCATTCCTTCTCAGTCCCGAACAAAAAGATGCAATGAGTATCAGAATGCCTCACTATTGTTATAGCGTAAATGGGACGGTTTACCCTGCGTGCAGAGTCAGACGAAGTTCTCTTTTAAGGAGTGAAATCAAACGAATGCAAAGGGTAGGACGGTTAGAAATGCATGGTTGAAATGAGGAATCATATCGATGAATCTGTTGTCTCGTGAACTATTCACATATACGCCCAAATTTACTGACACATTATACAGACACACGTCTGTGCCAAAAAGGTCAAGCATATTATTTTGAATGCGTCTCGTGAAATCATGGAAATGGAAAAATCGTACCTCCGAGGCTGCTCCATTTTGCTACCGAAACAGATCCATTTTCGTAAAAAATTTGAAGAGTTGTAGTACAGTTTACAGTGGTGTGATTGGATATTTTTTAGTTCTAGTAGAAACGTTAAATAACAAGTATTAAAATCGACACCATTCTTTAACTTGAAATTTTAACCAAATTCTAAGTGAACGATATTATAGAAAAACGGTAATTGAGTAAGCACCCAGACGGACGTTATCGTATGCTACGACCCCACTTACGTTGTGAATAAGTCCTGGAATTGGATAAGACGGACGGACATTGGCGTTCTCTGTATCCCCCGAACTTCATTCGATGGGATAATAAACAACAATGACATAATCAGTACATAATTTTGCAATTTTCCAATTTACTTTTTTATAACTGTATACGCTGACAATATGTTTTTAATGGATGTGAAAATGGATGAAAAAAATTTAAAGAAATTCAATTTTAGTAATGATTTCTCTGTCTTTTGAATTGCTGGATCAAACGAAAGGTATAATCAAATTGAAGTGTCAGAAATATTTCGACGCCTTGCTTAATCGCTGGTATGCTTTATGTGACATTCTCAAAGTGTAAAGTTCAAGTAATAATCGATACATCTTTCCATTTCTTGAAAAAGAAAATCGCACCCTGTCCTATATAAACGTAATGTCCATGTCCATCACCGACAAATTTCATTCGTCTATAGATAATAGTTTTACTGTATTACATTCATTTCTTAGCAGAGGGTCCTTTGCAATATTTACAAGTTCCCGAACATGTTAACAAATCATTGACGTATGACTCCTTATGGATAACCTTGGCTAGATACGTCTCAATGTTGCGAATTGCTGGATCCTCTAAACTTGCCAAAATATTGACCTTTGAGTTGAACTGACTGGGTAAATTCTTTGTTTTCAGACACGAGTGCAGCTCCTTTAGCAGATCTATGAATCTATCTGCCAAGCTATCACTGCCCCAATGTTCTGCTTTGCGATCTTTGCACACTTTCAATAGTATGGATTTGAATACGTAGGAGCTGAGGACACCCATCTGGCTGTTGTGTAAACGAATCGTTTTCAGAATCTTTACACATTTCTTCCTGCACCCGTTGTCAGCTTGGTCGATTTTGTTCATCCTTTCCTTTTCTTCTCGACAGTATGACTGAAGCCAAAGGGACTCCACGTCTGCACCACGTAAAACCTTCGGAGGGGGTTTTGCAACAACGAGCGCATTTGTAGGCATCCCGATGGGTCTTAGATCAATTGCTGGTACAAAATCTATACATAGCTCCCTTCTATCCGACCCATATACCACATTTAGGGTAACCGCTGGTCCACCCTGACGAACATTAATCTCGTACTTGGGCGCGGCAGATTTCTTATATTGATCGCTCCACTTTTGAAGAAAGCTTTGAAAAGCCCTTCGAATCTTGACAGCAGATAAGTAGCCATTATCAAGGTACTTGCTCAAACTCTTGCACCATTCATTCTTGCTTACTGGAACCTCGGCAGCATGCTTATTTCTCCCAAGCTTCAACCGCCAATAGCCTGCTTTCGTAGCTACCTCATTAAAGTTCTCAAGGTCCCATTCACAATCGGAAAGATCGAGTGGCATCAGCAAGTCAAATTCATTAGCAAAGATTACTTTTAATCCCTCATAAACGCTACCCATGAGCTCGAACGGCCTCATCGGAACACCAAGGCCTTTGAGATATCTGAAGATATCCTTCTTAAGCTCTTCCATAACGATGGTAGCCGCTGTCATATCATCCTTCTTTATTTCCACTTTGTCTTTGTTAAAATTGTTCAACGCACTCTTCAGGGATTTCTGACTGGACGCCATCTTTCTGAAAAAAGGTTTATGATAAAAGATAAATTGCACCAAACAATGTTTAGCAGAAAAAACTTTTTAGATTTTTAGATCATCAGACAACATTAGTACCCCCGACAGGTTGAATGATGCAGTCGTGTTTTTACTCTATATTTCCAATAGAACTACCATTCTTATTGAAATTTTCATATTTTATTCTGAAGACAATTTCCAACATGGAAAAAAAATATAACGAAATTCTATGATTTTAATAGGCTTTTTTAAATAAGACGCCACTGTCAATAAAATACAAGTTTTTACTTGAACAATTGATCTTTTAGCGTCATTTCAAGGATTGTCAAGCTATTGAATTTTTGGCCGCCTAAAGTCTTTCCAGATGTATTTCACGCCATATTAATTATGCCTGAGTATTGTTATTCATTTTGTCATGTTCAATAATATTATTACAGTACATTAGGCCAATGAAAAATTTGTCACTCTGGGTCACATTTCCTCTGATAACGCACCTATTTCGCCACTGGGTTTTTCCGCCGCCGTCACTCAGCATGCAACCACGTGGCACGTAAATTGTACCATGCTTTTAATATGTCCCTGACAATTTCATGATAGAATGTGACACAGCTATATTAACATCTCATGAAGGATCTAATACCGGAAATACTTGAAGTTGGAGATTCGTAATGTGTTACCTCATTTTGGACAGCATTGAACATTGAAATATCTTTTAAAATTTCAATAAGAATGGTTGTTCCATTGCAAACATAGAGTAAAAAACACGACTGCATCATTCAACCTGTCCAGGGTACTATGATGATCAGCTGTTTGTGACGTGTGTAAAGTTTCATGGGGATTCCCCCAGTTAACTTGCCAGGTAATTTTCTTAGCTGTCCTTTTTGGTGATCTTTCATTGTAAATCAGTTACTCCTTATATACAGCGTATGTTATACTTAATGTTTAAAGAGGCTCTATGCCATAGGATAGCACAATCAAGACCCCTCTGGAGTTTTTTACATATTGAGTTTCACCACATATATACCCATCTACTTACCAAAGAAGAAGTCCCAAATCCCCCTCTTTTAGTGTTAATTTTCCGATTGTGCTGGCCGAACTTATTATTTTCGAAAAAATTAATTCAATTTGAAGTTTGAATATTCCGGGAAAGTCCTCCTGTTATCTGATTGGTCGTTGAATTTGTTTATCATAAACCTGATTGGCTCCCTGGTTCAAGGCGCTTGTGTGACTCAATGGGATTCCCGTCGATAGCCGAGGAATCGATTGTGTTTAATTCTGGAGTTTGGTTGTTCTGTTCATTATTTCCGATATTTTGGCAATAATATACCCAAAAGTTATCCTCAAGATATTCATGGTATATGTTATATTATATGAGCAATAACAATAGGACATCATTGATTGTCTGGGGGAGAAACCTATGGCATAATGCATCTTTAATGTTTTGCTATAATATTAATCACTAGAAATCAATGTAAATTATTATTCTCGTCCTAATCAGGTAGTAAAAATATTGACAGCGATTGCATGTACTACAAAAGGTCATCAGATTCACCTTGCTAATAAATCTCGATTCCGACAAGTATGTAAGATAATTCACGCCACTTTGTTATTTAAAATATTATTTCATTATAAGTACTATTCTAGTATAATCGCCATTTTATAATGATCCGATGACTAATTGAATGTAACATGTTAAAAAACAAATTCTTATTCTTACCAATGTACACGAGCTCCGCCCTCTTGCCAAGTAGTGCTCGAGTGTGATTATGAATATCGATTTATGTGAACGGATGTCAATGTGTTCTCTACATGCACGCCTAACCATCGACAAGGTACAGTCACGTGACAGTGACAAAATATGCTGTAGTACACTTTTGATGTACTATGTCATTTCCGCCATTTTAGATCGCCATTTTCTAGAATGAGGAAGCGAGGTAAGAACTAGCATTGATTTGATCAATATTGTGTCAGTTCATCATCAGGCAGTTGTTGCATTCGATTTGTAATTAAGTTGCAAATATGCATATCTACTTCAAATGATCCTCAGCAACTTCAATATCTTGTTATAGATCTACCCAGTACGTCAGGGATCTCTAAATCTTGACTGAATTTCGCAAAATTCTCTCTAATTTTTGTTTTGCTATGCAAATAACAGCCAAACTACGACTAACACAACTTAAGATAAGTATACAAATATACATACAGAGTTAATGCAAAACCGCTTTTTACTTTGGATGCTACTACGAAAAATAGATAATGTATGTTGTCAACTCAAATGTATGTTGTCACATGTGTCCTATATCATATTTAAGATTATCCAAAGTTACATTGATTTGCCAAATATGATGGTTCAAATGGTAAAAAGTAACAGGCATTTCAAAAATTAGCGTTTTGCCAAAAAGTTCATTTCAGTATCCTGGAAACAGCCCTGACCTGAATGTGACAGAAAATATGGATGCTATTCTCGAAGATAATATATGGATATCGAGTTCTAAAAAGATGACGTTTAGGGTAGATACTCCAAGGAAACTCTTCTTATGCCTTAAAAAGGTTTTATGAGGATTACAAAACGCCATATCCCTATTTGAAGCCAGTTTAAGGTCAAATATGGAAAGTATTGCTGCTGTTAACACGACGGCTAAGGAGACACACCGACTATTGTTTTGGTGTAAAACTGACTTTAATTTTGTCCAAACACTAACTTTTGAAATTCCTGTAACTTTTTCCATTTGTGAGTTACACCATGATACTCGGCAAATTAATGTAACTTTGGATGAGCTTTAAAATGATATACGACACATACATGGAGACATTGGTATATGTCTGCCTAGGGGGCCCATGATTTCGGGACACCCTGTAGCATATTAAAGTCATCTTGGATTAGCTATTAAATATCTCTCCATGAACTCCTTAAGATTATTAAAATTCATAAAAGTGCAACTAAACATAACGTAACGTACCGACGTCGAGTGGTCAAAGAGGTCGGAAGAAAACACGCCATGGTCACATATTAATCACCATATTAATACTTTCATAAAATAAAATAGCATTCAACGAAAAAATCACTTTTTCCTGTTTATCTGTACTAGGGATACAGGAGCATGTTCGTTGAACATCACTTGTAACGCATAAAACCCTTAATGCATTTTGAAATTAAATCATTGCAATGTTTAATATTATAACTCATGTATTTCAATTACAGGGACAACATATACTGTGAGTTGACAACGTACATTTTTGATTTTTTAAATTATATCAAATGCATGAATGTTTATTAAATGTTCACCTGTCCTAAACTGTGTAGTTTAGAGAAACACATTCTTATAAAAATATTCGACTCTCTGAGACGTCAGGGGAGAAAATTATCAAAGGAAATGTGTAAAAAACAACATTTTTCCAACCGAAGAATCGTATGGGTAGACTAACAACGAAAAAATCGAGCACTGCTCGAAGATCTTTTAACGTTATTAGAAAAATAAATGTCTTTGAAATCGAATGCACGCGAAATCAAACATAAAATCCTTTGTGTACTCCTAAAATTTATTTTTGAAATCCTGCATCAAACCTACACCATAGTCTTCGCTCAAAATCAGTTAATAGTGACATAGTACATCAAAAGTGTACTACGGCATATTTTGTCACTGTCACGTGACTGTACCTTGTCGATGGTTAGGCGTGCAGGTTATCGTTTATATTGATTTAGGCTGAAAAAAGGTTATCATACACTGTATACCGGTACATTTAATCAACTTTGTTTCTCTATCAATGTTATCCTAAGATCAAAATACATGGGCTCAAGAAAAACAAATAATACCGATGGATTAAAATGTTTAAAATAACGCCTTGACCTACGTGTACGTGACCGAATGGAACTAGTTAGGAAACCTATATGGCATATGATATATTATTGATGTTTGACCAATGTCAAAATATTTCTCTGACAAGGGCTGAAGCAAATGCTGAAATCTACTTGGTCAAACATCAATAGTATATCATGTGCCAGGATTTACTCGCTACCTTTATTTCTCGTGTGTTTGTACGCTATTTCCTCCACCGGATTACGTTTCATTACGTATGCCATCTAGTGGTGCTTCTCAGGTAGGCCTACTACAGTAGGTAATTTCTTTAGGAAACAGAGATGTATGGATAAATCTGTCTGAATTATTATAGAAATACAAGAATAATTGATTTTCAAATATAACGATTTTAACATTTGATTTGTACCTTATTTCCTTCCGACAAACATCAAATGACTAGAATTATGGTAGGGGTTAAAAACACTTTATCTGTCAAAGGTTTAAACGTCTGAGATAAGATGTGTGTGGACGAGTCTTGTAATGGATTAATCTTGGTTTTAAAACCCATGTAACAGAGGGTCGGTCGTTTTGCCCCACCCATGGGCCGTTTTGCCCCACTCCCGACATTATTTTTGACCATTGAAAAATCGCAGAAGACAGTCTTAGGCAAGTATAAAAGACTCAAAAAATGTAAACCACAAACCATTAATAAAGTGGAACATCAAAGTGCACGATAATTGACAGATAAGAAAATACCCCGTACGGAACAACTTCAAATTTAATTTTTAGGCCCGGTTTGCCCCATGTTCCCTTACATGTAGAAATTAATATGATATATTTGACTAAAGTCCATTTCACTGTCTTATTGCGCCAGTAAAACCTAAAGAATAAGAAATCGGGAGAAAAATGAAGTTAACTGAAATAACTGGTCTTGTGTGAACGATTTTTCATTCTTTGGGATTTTTGTTTTATGTAATTTGACAATAATATTCACCACAGAAATGTTTTATATTTATTAACCATGGCATATTTTACAATGATAAAGATGTTTGGCATGGCACGCTTGACACCTTTGCTATAGCTCGTCCTTTTCACTCTGGAAGTAGAACAAAAATGGCCATTGATCCAATTTACTTTAAACAATTTGCATATTTCAGTTTATTTTAGACAAAATAATTATAAGTCAACGTCCACTTTATAAGCCTAATACTCATGTTTTAATTACATGTCTCCGTTATCAGTCATAGTTTTCTATGCTTGATTGGTTTACTAGTATTTACCTTTGCGTATTTTTCTATAAATGACGAAAGCCCTTCGAGGGTTCTTTCTCCATCGAATTGTACAGGCTGCAATATACATATTATATGGGGTAGTAATTACAATACATTGCATTGATTTAAGAAATTGAAAGATCGACAGCAGGTATCATATCGACGAGTAAATACCACAGAGCGAGGCACGAACGTTTCCTGTACCCCCGAACGACCTAGATGTGTCATCTATGTCATGTTCGCATTGGAAGAATTCGTTATTTATTTCCTTCCTGTCCCCTCCTTCATACTTATAGAATTGTACTCCGGCAACTTAAGAAATAAATGTAAAGATAATACTAATATGCAAACCTCATCTGCGCCTTTTGGGTAGAATTGAAGAGTTGGGTATCCACCAATCTTTATATCTAAATCATTACTAGTTGCATCTATGGCACCGATCACCACGTCTTTATTGTCTTCATATTTTTCCGCTAACTCTTGCCAAATCGGGGAGAGCTTCTTACAATGTCCACACCAAGGAGCATCTTCGAAATTAGAAATGGAATCACTCGTTTGACTTGAAAATGATAAGTGTATGTGCCTGAATAACCATAATGTATCTTGAAGCATATTTTGGGTGACAATGTTTTTGAAGGATGGTTTTACAAATTCCAACGGGGCCTTTTAGAAAACATTTATTCGAACAATTTCTGTACAATTTCTGTGTCTGACACGAATATGTACCAGAACTTAAAAGTATGACTGTTGCAAATGTCTGAATGAATGGAGGTGGTGTGAAGAAAATCTGAACTGGTTTTAATTAATGTACTTGTCATATTTGAATAGAGAAATAAAAAAAAATAATAAAAAATAAAAATAAACTCAAGTGTTGATAACTAAATTTTAACCGTGGCATCAAATAGGCAATAACTTCTTTTCAGAAGGGGTATTGTTGGGCTTGTGCTGGAGACTCTTTAATACCAAAATTTCAACTCCAATTCCTAATTGTTGTAATGTTGTACTTTATCATATATCCTAATTGTTGTAATGTTGTACTTTATCGTATAAGAATATATTCAGTGATATCTTATGCAAATAGTGTAAAAGAAAACTCACAGAACTCCACAAATCTGCTTTTGGTTTTATCACCGATAACCTCAATAAATGTATCCCTCACGAGTGTCTTCATCGGCTTATCATTCCAGCCATCTGGAACTGCCTGGCTCACTTTATGTGGCTGGAAATAATTTACTTATATTTACATCTAAACCATATTGTACAAAGTACAAAAGCAAGGTATAATGGTGGGTTATTTCGAAAGTTTTCCTAATTTTGAAAACAGCATGTCAGAAAATGTAATTTTATCCCAAAAAAAGCGAGTGATATTGAAATTAATAGTTTATTCCTGCTTTCAGAGATGCAGAGAATTTCTATCAAAGTACGACATATTTAATTACTATTTACGACTATTTAATTCTATCTGCTCAAATTGCTGTATTAGTAAAACGTCAACATACATCCAAATAAAAAAAAATATAGACAACTGTTCAACACCAAACACCACGCTATGGAAAATTATGGAAATGAAAATTGTAAAATATATACGCACCTCAACATCTCCCTTTTCCATCTGTTCAATAAATGCCTTGATGTTATCAACTGTTACTGATTCGTCTTTAGGCTTGTATTGCTGAAGTCCTATGTTCTCTTCGACCTTGACGTATCTGAAGGTTTCTGTGTAGTTCTCCACAGGCATCTTTAATGTCTTGAATGGTGCACTTACTGCCGCCGCATGAATCGTATCAACATAAATGAACACAATCTAAAATGGTGTAAAAATGTATATACTGGGTGGATCTTCTACCTAATCGCATAATCAATTTGAAATCTAGAATTTACCTTAGCTTAGTTGAAATTGAAGGTTTATCTATATCGAATGAATTTTGGGATGGTACTAACACTAATAAGTATCACTGTGGACAAGTGAAATGACAGTCTGAAAGTTGGGACAGAGGCCCTTCCTCTTTCATAGTGTTCAGAAATAAAAGGCATACCTTTCCTCGTTTGGGTTTTGCCAGTTCTTCGAGACCCTTGAGTCTTTGCTTATTCCTTGGGAAGAATACCACGACAAAGTCGGCGTCTCTGACTTGGTTGAATATGTATGTATACTAAAATTAAGAATGAAGTAGAAAGTCACCAACAGTTATAACTAGTTCACACATAGCTAGGCAAGGTGTGTCCGATTCCAGCCAATCCGAACACAGTATTTCACATATAGAACAGTGTGTGAAATATCAATAACACATGCAAGGTCACTAGTTAAACAGTTGTCATGGTGATGAATGGACTTTTCACATTGGATTTGATGACTTGCCAACTTGAGCCTTGTAAAATATTTCATTGAAAATGAAATTAAATTCCTTTTGGTTGATTTTGTAGAAAAAATTGTAATATGTGAAAAATAAAGAAAAGCGATGTAAACGGGTGATCGATGTCGAAGTTAACTTCATGCAGGCCATGTATGAAAATTTTTAAAAGGGAACTGAGTCTGAAGTATATTGAGTTTGCTTTCCTTGTGACTGGTTGTACTTGTTAATATTTTCTCGCTCTGATTTTCTACACCTTTTTATATTTCCCCGTTTGCACTTGTGCATACATATTTGTATAATCCATTACGTTTTATTCCATTTTTTATTTGTCGTTTGTGTTTACTCGATCATACCTTTTGTTCCCACTCTACGATATCTTTCAAGGCGAATGTGTGGATGAAGTTCTTGATACTATCAATATCGTACGGACCATCAAATGTGAAGCTTTGCCATGTTTCCTAGAAAAGTACATGTATGTACTCAACAAATCAAAATAAAGTTAATATTGTTGAGCTCATGTATACTAAAAACGTGGTGTAGCATAATAACAAGACCATTTTGACGAGAACAGGAAGTCAAACATATTTTCTAATTTTTATTTATAATATTTACAACTTTCTAGCAACACATACCGAGTTGAACAGGACGAGAGATTCCTTATAAATTTTGTATTCACTCCATATAGATTGGTCTTGGATCGTGTAGAATCCAATGTTGGTCGTATCGTATGCTGTGTGTTTAATAGCCCTAAATTCCCTAGAATTGGTGTTCTACAAGTTCAAAAATAAAAGCATGTATGCATGTATGCAATACTAATTGTACTTTTTATTTTTAAAGTTAGAAAATGTATGTTTCCTAAACACTGTATTGTTACCCAATGTAAATTCACAACGAACTAGTAACAGAAATTTCATGTTGTAAAGTCCTAATTCTTTATATACTATATCTAGTTTAATGTCATATTAGCAAAAGAACAATACATCAGATCAGGTGATCAGATTAGCATGACTTACACGGAAGAAGGCTATGAGGGAGATCTTCAATGGTTCTGTTATGAGCTTAGCTATTTTCGTTGATTTAATCGTTTTAACCAAAGTGCCCTTTTTCTTAAGAAGCCATGGTATGACTTTCTCTGACACATCTGTTAGATCTGAAATAATATTACTTTAAACTATAAACTGTCAGCGCAAATATTTAATGATTTGTTTTAGTTTTTACAGATATTACAGTTTTTACATACATACGATTTAACAAAAATAAACAGGTTGAGTGATCCCAGGATCTAAGAAGTTTTAGACGTAAAGGTACACTCCTAATCTTTCTAACCTTTAGAGGTGTATGGATAAATCGAAGGACGCTCTTCTCTCAAGAACACGATGCCTGGCATTGTGGGAATACTATATTTACGACCGATATCAGGATACTTTTGTATATCTACCCATGCCATTTTGACATCGGGCTCTGAGTCGTGTAGGATTCCACTAAGTTTGAAACACTCTGGAGTGAATTCCTTGCTTCTTTTTGACTTATCAACTGAAATTTTAAAATAATTGTTAGCACTGCACTAATTAATTATAATTACTCATAAATAGTAAAATCATGAATCTATGTTTAAGACAAATAGTTACATATACTATAGTTGTAAATTTTGAGATTAACTTTTATTGTTACGCAATCTTAATTGACAATGTTCAGTTCAGTTCAATTTTGCTATTTCTATATATCTAATTTGAAAAAAAACTATTTAAAGTGTGTACTTACCAAAGAAAACTAAAGAAAACTTGTTGTCTATTATAAATTGTTTATATTGTTCCTCATCTTCTATTCTAGTTATATATTGATCAGATGTTACCCATGCATTTGTATATACAACAAATATTGTTAGGACTGCTAAAAATGACACAATACTAGTCGTCATTATGCTATATTGGTATATGTAGTACTATAGTCTTTATGCTCCTTTGTCTTGAGCTACGAATTATTGATATCTTACGTTTTAATCCTGTTTATTAATTTTAATCCATGTATATATTTTCACCACGTGTAGTTTCCTCTGTCTTAACGTGTGTATCGCTCTTATTGGTTAGCGTGTCTTCGTCTGACTTTACCCCCAAGACAGACATAAGATGACCGGTATAATAGTAAAGCTATATCTCGCGTTCAACTACAAATTATAAACTGAGCTTTTTACAGCTGGTAAATGTACATTGAATGAGACAAAAAAACTATTTATTATGAAGACCATAAATGTGACACAGATGCTTGTCTTTAAAGGCAAGTAGGCTACACCATCTATCATCTTCGTTCACTCGGCTCCCGTCGGTGAAGACCGGGCGTGCGAAGATGACAATATAACGTCTAGATAATCTCTGTAGTAAATTGTTCGGCTTATGGTCATCTTACATGTTTGAGCTTTACAAATATCAAAAAATATTAAAATAAATGTAATGATCTTATTTATTTATTCAAACAAATGATACCAAATGCCAAAGTGTTCACTTATTCTGCACTGGTTGTTTTGATGTACGATGAAATGACAACTTCATGACTTCCAAATTACGTGGTGCGATCACAGTTCTTCTTTTGATGGCTGAAAACGAGGTTATTTAGTTAAAACAAGTCAGAATTGTATGTTATGCTCTTTTTAGTTTCCCGAGTTGATTTGTATCAAACACAGGGTGGACTAAGAAATGTTACCCATTGTGAGAATATAGGAATTTTTTGGACCACCTTGCATATAATACATGTTATCGTATACATTTTATCGTTGTATGAACTATGAATAGCTGCAACGTTAATACAAACAAAACCTACCTTTATATAACTGTCTATGAACGATGATAACCCTTCAACTGTTCTGTCTCCTTTATATGATATAGGCTAAGATAAAAGAGAACAGTTTAGATTCACCTTGAATTCTTGGTACATGTCATCTTTACTAATATGTACTAAACGAATGATAAGAATTAGAAAAATGAGCAATGGGGACTACATAACTCAGATTAGCATGGAAAGAAATGGTGAAGAACAAAGCACGTTTGGAAAAATATATATGTTTGTTTCTCTTCATATTTCACCAACATTTGCAATCAAAATAATAATTTCCTCTTTGTAAATACCTCATTGGACCCTGCTTCGTAGAATAATAATGTAGGAAATCCTGCAATTTTGACATCTATATCGTTTGTCATCATGTCCACTGCAGCGAATACCAGTTTATCTTCACGTTCATACTTCTCTGCAACCTCTTGCCATATTGGAGCCAACTTCTTACAATGTCCGCACCAAGGAGCAACTGGATAAACATAGTTTTGTGTTAGATGTAGTAATTGGTGTTTTTGCTAACCACCAATGAAAGTGGGCAATACCGCTTTGGTATACATGTATTTCCAGTATGGTCGTTATAATTTATTGCTTTTACTTTTAAAAGTTAGAACATTCTGATGAGATTGAGAGCACACACGATCAGTGTTTTAGTGATACTTACAGAACTCTACAAATCTGTGTGTACTGCTGTCTTTTACTACTTGATCAAATGTGCTTCCCACAAGAGTTTTCACTGGTTTGTCTTGCCAACCTTCTGGAACCTCTCCACTTGTTTTGTGAGGCTAGAGGAAAATGGTTTGCTCACTTAAGAAGTCTATCTTATTTCAGATCTCCCAAAATGATTTTTTCTTTTAATATGTAAATATCAATACTTCAAATGGCAATTAAATTTGAAAATATGACAACATAATGTGATTGTAACAACTTGCAATTTGTCATGTAACTGACGAGGTTAGCATTTTTCCATGTAGGCCTATTTACATTTTTGGAAAATATAAGTTTATTGATGTTGCAAACAACAAATTAAACCATTCGAAACAACAGAAACTGCGTGCCACACAATGTAGTTTGAAATATATGACTGGCATGCAGAATGGACGTGATTGGAAGCAAGATATTTCTTGCAATATGTACATATTGTAGAACCCTAGAGGGTTATAATGGTACTTGTTCACTGTTACCTGCTAGGTTAAATAAAATGATTAAAAAAATATATCGTATTTTTTTTTATTTCTCTTCGTTGTTGTACCTCGATATTTCCCTCTTTGACATCTTCGATAAAAGCCTTGATTACTTCTACTCCCAAGCCATCCTCATCAGGTTTATACTTTACCAAACCAGTGTCAGACATGCGTATAAATCGTAGCGCAACTGTGTCATTATGTACTGGCATTTTCACCAATTTGAAAGCTGGAGCTACCTTCTTTGCAAATACGGTATCAACATAAACAAAAACCACCTGAAAGTGTATATCAGATCCTAACCCTACTATCACACCAAGCTAGTTCTCACTACGTTCTCAAAAACGGGCTTAAACTGTGCACGAACGGATTTGACGGACTAAGAACCCACTAAGAACCGTTTGGGATCTGTTTACAAACTTCATGAAACTACTAGAACGAGTAGGTCCTCCAGCACTTAGAGCATGCTCAAAATTTTCTGGTGATCGTCAAAACGTTGCTGAGTCGGTTTTAAACTGTGTGCGAACTGAATGAACGTAGCTTCAACGTTCTACGGTCTGTTTACGAACTTCATGGACTTTCCCGGACGGGGTATGTGATTTAGAATTTTGAATCGATTCAAAATTCGATGGCGGCCATACCGTTCTGTAATCAGGTCATGATGACCTTCTAGACTAAGGGACGGTTTATACTACGTTGCACACCGATTTGGTGCGACCTAAACGAACTGCGAATGAGATGGACGTATTGAAGACTGTTTATGAACGAAGAAGCTAATTATTTTAGACATACAGGGAGTCCAATAAATAAGGTGAAATATATTGTAACTTTCTTAATATTGCATCAATCTTGATGAACTTTTCAGAGTTTGTAGCCCAAACCTTTTTACCCTTATTCTGTGAATTTAAAGTGTCTTCTATTTGATTGGCCAGAGTTGTGGTTGCAATAGCAACCGAAACAACAAAAAGGCGGGGCAAGTTTGTTTACGTCACAACTTTCCAAAACATATTTATTCTTTCTGATAACTTTATTCATACTTCCAGGTATATTACTACCACAAATACAAAAATACAATATAAAAAAACAGTCCTAAAGTCCCATTGTTATGAAAATAAGCATAACATAATGTATAGCACAACATAATGTCCATATCTAGCTATACACTTCTTTTATGTCTTATGCCTTTTCATCCACTCTCTAAACACACTTTCAAACCCATTCTCGCCCATTTCCTGAAGTCTTGCTAAGACATGTGATCTGAGTTCATCAGTGCTTCCAAATTTATTTCCTCTCGAGTCACGTTTGAGTTCTGCATATAAGTAAAATTCATTGGGTGCAAGGTCTGGGGAATATGGAGGGTGTGCAAGTAGGGGTAGCCCCAGTGCCCTAATAGTTTCACTAGTGAGCATAGCTGTGTGTGAACTCCGATCAAATGTCTTAGCAAGACTTCAGGAAATGGGCAAGAATGTGTTTGAAAGTGTGTTTAGAGAGTGGGTGAATAGGCATAAGAAGTGTATAGCTAGAGATGTTTTGAAAAGTTGTGACGTAAACAAACTTGCCCCGCCTTTTTGTTGTTTCGGTTGCTATAGCAACCATAACTCTGGCCAATCAAATAGAAGACGCTTTAAATTCACAGAATAAAGGTAAAAAGGTTTGGGCTACAAACTCTGAAAATTTCATTAAGGTTGGTGCAATATTAAGAAAGTTACAATATCTTTCACCTTATTTATTGGACACCCTGTATATCCCGACCGCAGCCAGATTGAGCCCGTTTTACGACATTTTCGTAGGACTCGCAAGAACGGGTAAGAACTAGTTTGGTGTGATAGGGGGGTTAAGATTAAATGCAGAAAGCAATGAGTGCCTTTGCCATACTTGTTTGTTTACCACAGCAAATGCACTCATTTCTTGTAAACAAAGTAACAACATACAAAATCAGAAAGTGCACAAAATAGTCAAGCAATAATGGTATTATAAATTATCACAAGGTCACAAACAGTAAACTCTAAATGGTTTTAAAGTAAGGTACCAACCGACCCTCTGTAGTCCTCTGCTAATTTCTTCACTGCAGTGATCTTCCTTATATCAAATGGAAAAAATGCTACAAGAAAGTCAACATCTAGCTTGAAGAGGTCTTTCGTCTGGAACAAAAACATATGGTATAGGTGTGTTTCTTTGGAATGCTCGATTGTCTTGATGCGTTACAAAAACCAGAGGTCCATGTAAAAACAAAATAATTCTTAAAGACAGGTTTGTGGTAGTTTTGACCTCCATTATTCTGTGCTTTTATTCATGGTGTCTACAAAAACTTGTCACTTGCAATATACAATTGTCCTATAAAAAGGAAATCTTTCTTAACTTGCAACACTTATTGGGGTGACTGCACTTGGCTGCATGTGACACGAATTTCTGGACATGTTGTATTACTGACCTCCATGCTCCAATGTTCAAGGAGATCTAGCGAGTGCACAGCAATGAAATTCTGAATCTTGTCTGCATCATACACTCCTTTGAATTTATGACTTTCTTTGTTCTCCTAAAGTATATATCGAGGAAAATCATCAAACATCGAAATGATACAAGATGATAATCGGGAATGAATGACAAAGTGATACGTAAGATGAGTACAAGAATGAACTGCTAGATATAGAATTAAAACTTTATTATAGATGATACTTTTAGTTTACGTAAAGTAGTAAAGTATGGAGAGTGATATAGTAGAGGGTAACACTTACTGCGTTGTAAAGGACAATGGTGTCTTGATGTATCTCATTTTCTTGCCATATTGATTCATCTTGAACTGTGTAGAATCCAACGTCAGTCGTGTCAAAAGCAGCGTCCTCCAAGCTTTGGAATTCTTTCGATTTTGTGTCCTGCTCGATTAAAAAATGAACCTCCGTGTCGGATAATCGTTGGAATTGTATCAAAATGGTTCTATAGTCTATACGAGTATATGTAAAATTGTATGTAGATATATTAGACGGAGGCCTACACGTATTATTTATAAGTAAAAATCCTTACTTGAATTAGTAAATAAACTTATAAAGAAATTATAAGTTATGTTGTGACAGAATGACTTACTCTAAAGAATCCAATGACGTTTATTCTGTTTGGTTCTGTTATAAGTTTTGCTAATTTAGGAGATTTTATGGTTTTTACAGCTCTGCCCATCTTTGAAATGATCCACTGGGTGAGTAATTCTGCTGTTCTTTCCTCTGTCAAAATATAGAGCAATTATATGATAGTAATGTTCATGTTTCTTTATTTCCTACGTTTCAAGAAGAGCATAGACGCAGAATATATAGAATACTATGAACCGATATTCAGACAAATTTAGACATAGCTAGACAAGGTGTGTCCGATTCCAGCCAATCCGTAATTGGTCACAGTATTTAATATATTGTAACTGCACTGAATTATACATTATGACCAATAACCCACTCAAGGTCCGTTGAATGGTTGTTAAGGTGACAACCTGACTATACTGATTGAAATGGAATTTGACAACACGTTTTATTGAAAATGTGTCCTTTTATTAATTTGGTATCTTTGAGGTGATTCCCAAGAAAATATTTTAAATATCTCAAAATAAGTTAAGCCCTAGACTCGATGCATTGTGGCTGATTCCTTCCACTCGAGCGTTAACTCCTAGATACTGCGCTTCTCGTCTTGAAATAACACCTTTTTAAGGAATGGTTCAGTCCACATTGCACTGAGTCCAGAGCTTAAATCAAAAATATATAGAAGATGCTTGTATTGCCAATATGCTGAACAGGGTGTCCACAAAAAAGTATACCAAACTTCAAAGCCAGAATATTATAGTTCTGAGTTAAATGCTCGGGATTCTAGTAATTTAATTGGTTTTGAACGCCCTGTATTGTCCAAAAAACTAACCGGCTTTGGTATGTTGGTATATAAGAGGCCTCTTGTTTTTGAATAACATGATCACTGGCTTCACACGTGACACTTTGTACAGTGACGATATCTCTTTATTCTCAGTGTGATTCACCAGCGCCATCTTTACCCCATCAATCTCCTGCGTCACTCCAGATATCTCGAAGAACACATCCATGAAATTCTTACTTCTGTCAAAGCTGTCAACTAAAATTGTATGAAACATATGAAATGGCATATTAACTAAAATATGGCATGAATCATTTTATAGATTTATGTGTAAATATAGATACATTTAAACCTGTCATAGTGAACACCCCTCTCTCTAGTGAACACCAGCATGTATTAAGTGAACACCAATTCAAGATAGATTTTACAATGGCTCTTGTAGAAACTCCCCTCTCTGGACAGAGAAGCATCGGTATTTTTAGAACACACTGCAGAGAGAGAGGTACTGGCTAATTCTAGGAACCAGGAAGGGGCAGTTGGGAAAAGGCTGCAAATAATACAGTAAAACCACTGTTGAGCATGAGGTAATGTTAATGTTTTTCAATCTAATATCAGATATCTAGGTAAAACTGAAAACATATTTCTATATTACATAAATATCATATTTTATGTATCATAGGAATAAAAAATATCTTAGGTAGATGTTTTGTACGAAGAGATTCGGGAACGTCGACAAAAAATTGAGATTTTGAAAAGGGAACACGACATTATACTACAGTTTCTGAGTAAAAATAAAAATTAGGACAATTTAATACTTACCAAACACCACAAAAACATAATTGTTATCACTAATATACGTTTTGAACTCGTCCTCAGAAGTCAGTTTCTGTATGAAATTGTCTTCTAAATCGTCTGCATATGAAACAGTGAAAAACATGAGGAAAATTACGAATATCATTTTGATATTCCACATGTAAATTAAACGATCTATATTCGAAGTCATGTTTTCTCTTTTGCCAACGTATCCACGTGTACTGTGTAATCAAACCCCTTTTAGTTGAGATAATAATTTGATAAAAAAATTTACATTAATGAAAGTTATATTGATAAATACGTGAAATAGTAAAGTATGGTTTCTTTTATTGCTGTTCCGCCGACAGACTGTTTCAACATCTGCCAATATCCCACAAATACAGTGAAACCAAGGGAAATATCAATACCCGGTGATTTCAGCGGGAAGTGGCGTTTCGTTCATTGGATGAGCTGCGCGCGCACGCATAAATGTGATTATCCAATATAATTAGGGGAGGGCTATTTGAAGTAGTTTTTGGTCTCAGGCGCGACCCAGGGCTGTTGTCTTAAGGACATTTCGTTGAAAATGAGCCATTCGGCTGATAATTGGTAAGAGTTTGCGATCTTATAATGTATAACTGTTACTCAGACACATATTTTGACACGATTCTGTTGGAAATAAGCTTTGAACCGAGAGAAATTCACGATTGATATGCACATTTTTGATTGTGCCATTGCTTTTCTATTGCACAATCCATGTATTGATAGAAGAAACATTAATAATACAGATTGGTTTACCTTCAATACATGGCAGACACTACATATCGGTCTATTAATACCAGTTTGTGCCTTAAATAGTTTTATATTTCCATCCACGGCCTGGAGCCTTGGTGTGTTTGTCTCTTATGTGTATGCTTGTGCATGGACTTCTAATCACTAGCAGAATTTAACATGATGCAAACTCGACATTATAACTCATGCTGTAACATTTTGACTTCGCTGGAAAACAATAGGAATTATTTTTCTTGCCAATCAATCATGAATCACAATCAAAATTTCAGAATGATCAATCAGGCAATGGTCCAAATCAAGTTATAACATTATATGATATTCAGCAAGAAGTCCGGTAGAAATACAGAATATTTAAACATCAAAGCTGAAAGTTAAAAGCTAATCTGTCAATTTTCTGTCTGCAAAAGAGCGTCCCAAGAGCGTTTACATTTGACACAATAACAGACTGAGGCTTTGATATCTAGGATTCCCCAGGAAAATATGACGTCATACTAATTAGCATAAGGATTTCCCTATTGGGGTGGGTCGAGCCTTGTTCGAAAACACAATCCATAAATACATGCTAATTTCTAAGGAGATAGGAAGTGTATAACGTGTTTATCGATTTTGTTTAAAGATTTAATCAATTATGAAATTGTTTAAGTGGATAAAGTGGTCACACTTGCTTCAATTCATAGCGAAATCGACGGATAGAAACTGACCGAATTCCCGATATCCTACCCCGTATTACTGTAGGCTATAAGCACAGTGACCTACAGAGGGCGCTATCACAAACAAGTACTGGACGAACCGATAAATTCCCGGGTATTGTAACGCCCTTGGTGAAACCCTGGGCTTCGTACGAGGAGAGAAATATCACACAAATCAGTCCACTCCGGCGTCAAGTCTTGCACGCTCACTATTGGTCAGTACTGACAACAACAAAAATTAACGAATATTTTTTAACATATCATATATTTATTAAAACATGTATCATATGTAACGATATTAAAAGTGTGCGCACAAATAGAAATCAAATGTCCCCAAATCACATAGTTAATCTACCCGTGCCATTTTACATATTTCAGTGTATCATCAATGGACGGGCTACCTCAATATCGTACACACCCTATGCTTAGTGAGCGGAGCTAATTTCAAGGGTGATGGTAAGACGAGGCATGGCGCCCAAAAACCAAAGAATATTAGTACCATCATCTTTTAAGTCGTAAGTCGTATTATTGCAGCATAAGGTGATGATATTGTGATATTTTATGCTGTTTTAGAAGTGAAAGATGTTAAACTATGCATACCGTTTGTTTTACATCCAATAAAACGAATAGTTAAGATGAAACAGTCGTTTAAAGATACAATTTGAATTTACCGCAAGAAATTACAACCTAATATTGTCAATATGTCAATAATTCCTGATCGATGTCACATATAAAGATATATGTACCTAGATATGTTTTATTTTTTCATATATGCGAAATAAGGCGGTCTCTAGTTATGTACATCCAATACAAAATGAATGTTTACTAGAGTGTCTATTCGGCGATCAGAATTTCGATGACGAGCAATGGCGATGTAATTTGCGAAAAAGCATCAGTGCACCTAGTTACAGGCCGGGTTTGGGCGCCATGCCTCGTCTTTACCATCACCCTTGAAATTAGCTCCGCTCACTAAGCATAGGGTGGTACAGCTGGTTGTGAACGTTAGTCTCAAACTAATAAAATAACTTATAACACAGATATTGTAAGAGCTAATATTAACTTATGATATAACAGACTTCCATTTCCCACATATAAATCTTATTCCTACATTATACCGACATCTCTTTCCGGATAGTTTTCTTTTTTATAGATGTCGATGGAATCAGTATGTACCTTCAAAACATCCCTGGATTATACTTGTATATAACACTCACCTCCTTAAGTTTAGCAACCGAAAGATAGCATACCAAAGCATGTTAATGTCTGATTCTTTATTTCATCAATTTTTTAAATAGGCGAGCATAAACAGGGTTTAATAACTTCCGGATGCGAAACTTGTATGGAGGGAGTTATTAAACAGGTGCATCGATTGCACAGAAGAAATTATATCATTGACGTTGAAGCTGTTAAGAGTTGGGATTCCAAATTTTGAATGGCCCCAAGGACTGTCAATAGATGGCAAAGAATTCATTTGGTTAAGTTGTATTCTTTAAACATGTACAAACTGCTTGAAAAGTCTCACATGATACAATGGCATGCACAATATCTAAAACCTTACGACATTGCCATTATTAATTGATGTATGCATATGTAGTGTTTTTGAAGTTTTATTACAGCAATATTTACATACAGACCAATGGGACTGGGCTGTGAATGACAGCCCATTAGAGAAAATGAGTGAACTGCCATCTATATGAGACCTGGCTCCCATTGGTATACTACATTTCTTCTTTCTCATTGGAAATCCCATAGGACTTCATTAGTCGCTTACGGCGAATACCAATCACTTGGATTATACAATAAACGACAATAAGAAGACAGATGTAGACAACATTATGGTAGAGCAAAGATTCCGGGCCATATCTATTGATCAGGAAACCGGACATCCACTGCCAGAACATACCACCCAAACCGGCCCCACCTTCAGAGAGCGCAAATATCATCGCCTGTATATCGATGTATTGGTTATATACCGTTATGCCGCCTGGGAATATAGGAGCGACGAGGAAACCGAATATGCAGCTGCAGATCCACAATACCGTTGAACTAGCACCTCCGAATATTGCTAACACAACGGCGTTTGTGAGGTATAAAATGAGGACGGTAGTGACGTAGAGATTTGGAGGGATCCACTTTCCAACAAGGGTAGGAAGACCCCGGCCCGCTAGAAAGCAGAACCAGAACGCTGATTGCAAGTTGCTTGCGTCGTCCTTGTTCATATTCAGTTTCTTATTCTCAACGGCGTATGTAAACAGGAATTTCCCCCATGAACGTTCACCGGCAACCACAAGAGTATGGAATGTGAGAATTAGAGCAATCATAAAGCCACCAAAGATGGGTTCGCCAGGTGTGCAACTATGGGGAGAAAGGACTTTACAGATAGACGCGCAGCTTAATTTATGCGGTTCAACTTCATCATTAACTTCCACAACTTCTCCTTTACGTCGCATATCATCCATTTCTCTCGCTTTGGTTCTTTTCTTCTCTTCTTCTAATTTATGTTCCTTTGTGTCATGGTATAGGAGGACCAGGTAGAGTAAAGCTACAACCATGGTGGCTATTGCACCAATAGTATACGGGTACTCTATAAGGGACGTTGTTTGGGTTGTGATCGTATTGTTCAAATATCCCTCCGTTGCGTTGGGATACATGCTAGTCACCATATCAGTGCCGTTCAGTGGCTCCGTTTTGGTTGTAATGGTTTTGGATAGAAACGGCTTCGCCAGTTGTGGGGAGATAGTGGCTCCAATACCAAAACCAAAATGGAAGGCATAGCACGGGGCGGTAGCGTCAGAGCCCCACAGCCATACAATCCAGGCGTTGCCACCTGTGAAATACAACAGTTATTCTTAAGATGTGTCGACTGTGTGATATTCGTATATTTAAGTGTCTAACAAGGCACGTACATGTACATATTAGTTGAGCAATTAATAAGGGTAAAACGGATTACGATATGCCATATTCTAGGGTTTGAATATACCATTAGAAAGGGTATGGCTAATAAGGACACTATGGAAGTCGGCAGTCAAAGATATTTTACTAGACAATTGCAAATGATAACTTTTACACCGATTTAGTTTTTAATCATTATTAATTATTAGCGGTCCACTGGCGTTCGCTTCGTGTTTATCTTCAAATGATTTCAAGGATTTCACTGGTTGATGTGATTTGATCCAGCATAACGCGTTCATGTGGAATATGTACACTATATTAAGTACCAGGTAATCAAAAAATCACCAAACGGTCCGAAACATTTGTAAATCTTTTAACACTTTTGAGGGCTATCTGGATCACTTCTGAGAAAGAAAATCTTACCAGTTCCCAAAGTTCCGCAACCAAACCCGGTAAGGAAATAGCAAATGCCAAGTGTGACGAGAGTAGTGCACCAGGGCGCCCCTGCCACACCGGACAAGGCGACAACTTGAGATATAAAGATGATGATCGCAATATACGGTTTGAAGACATCACTAAGAAATCCACCAACCAACGCACTGACGAGGAACGCTGCGTTTTGCCACACTAGGATTCTCGAGATTTCCTCGTAATTTACTCCAAGACGATCCTTTAAGTCGGGCAGCGTGGGACCCGACAACTCGTAGTATATGCCCTGGAAAAGTAATCATTTCTACGTTTTGTGAATTATTACTATGTAACAAAAACCACTGGTACCAATGGACCATGATGGATGCAGAGAAATTAATGTTTTAAGATTTGTCATTAACATCATTTTCACCTACAAGATCGACCATTGCTGAGTTTAGTGTAACAAGCCACATACAGGCACGCAAGAAAGTGTGCAAACATTTTGAAATCATATTCAATTGTTTTTCATTGGCACAATGCAGTGTTTTGACCTACAATGTGCTCAAATGTGCCTGAGGTATGCAGTATAGGCATACAACAGGTGGGGACCAGTGGAAACAGAAAATGCAACCCTTTGGGGCGTGTCCTATAGTTTACAGAGAAATAATAAAATGAAGTAAGCTCTTTCTCGATAGATAGCCGTCCCCATACACAACAATTTTACATGTACATTTGATTTTTATATGTAATAATTTTTTATCTAACCTTACACGTGTTCTTTTGATCTTTATGTCTTCTTTGATTATGCTTATCTTGTAAGAAATTTTTGACATGGTTAATAATGATTCGGCGTAAGCCTGTAGCTTATGTATTATATATTAAATTAGAAGTAAATGAAAACATTTACATAAAGAAAGTCAATCAATTGCAGAGATCGATCGTGTCATAGGAAGGGACAATCTGGAGTTGGGCTCTACAAATCAGATCGCTTTAGAAGCTATGGATATCTTGATTGGTTATCTTTCACCTCATCCCAATTTTGGGTCATAAATCTTGTTGAGATAATTCCACTTGAGACCGAATTTAAGACTAATCAGTGACAGAAGGGTACACTTTGTTATGCTTTTACATTAAAGCGAAAACTCGATAATCATAACACTAACCTTGTATTTGCGAATGCAACTAACGCCTGCCGGCTACCGGATTAACCTACTATTTTATGGCCAACTCGTTTAAATATGAATGGAATGGTAGCAGGTACTATACATAAATGAGTTACCCAAAAAATAGTAGGTTAATCCGGTAGCCGACAGGCGTTGCCCCCTCCCATCTAATGATAGCAAAACACCAAATTGTTACTAGTCCGGATGAAGTAAATCAAAGCATATTGCTAGTTGAAGATAAAATCAGAACATCTCACGCTCAAAATTGGGAAGAGTATCGGAAACATTTTATCAACTTTGTATTAACAGTGCTCTTTATTTTTCTTTAAGAATTACGCCATTCATATGAAAAAACAGCTGATGATGAACCATGTGTTCTAGTTCTTTCCAGTACAACTATTTACGGCCTATAACAAGTTTTACTTACCATGCATATTCTGCTTAGAAAAATGACGATGGTTGTAAATAAGGCCCATCTAAACTTAGAACCTGTCAGCTTCTTGCCGTTAGCGTCCATGTTCACCTGTGAATAAGCCACTTCACTATCTCTGTCATTTCTATTGTCCTTCATGTTACTTATAAATATTTAAAGGTCAACTGAACACGATATTTCTACAATTACATGTACTGTATGATTGTGTACTATACTTGCGAAAGTGTTTTCTTACTTTCTAGAACAACTGAAGTAAGTTAGAATGATGTTCATTTACCATGTAACATAGAGTATGAAGTACACGAAGGTTGTATACGTAGAGATAAGCCACTTCAAAGTTTTTATTTAGGTCAAAGGCTCAGATGGTTTACTTGCATTATCCTAAACAACATAATAGATAATCATTGAAATTATTATTGTGTTATCTCCTTGGGTCAATTACAAGGTAATCTGAATTTTATTGACTGTGATACGAAGTTTACAATATCATATTGTGGTCCGCGACTCGCGTTTCGATCTAAATAAACAATGTAACCATATCTTTATTAGTTTTGGAGAAATATTTTTTTTGTCTCCCCTAACCAAAGATTTTTCAATTTCGCGGCTATTTTTAGTAATTTTTCCATTTTTAATATGCATATGATTTACAAACCTCAGAATACATATGCATCAAAATATTACATAATTATTTGAAGTAAGTAACAAACTAGTGGGTAGGAGTAAATTGTATTTGAAGTTCTAGTTTTTGAGAAAAAAAATTCTGTCATCTCGGATGGCTTTATTTATTTTCAAATATTTTTCATAAATCAATAAATATAGAACCAAACATGTGATTCTATGTAATATTTTGATTGTGTACCAGTAGAAACATATGGCATGCATAATTAGAAGCAAAATAAACCATGAAAATATGTCAATGCTGCAACTTCTGGCTCAAATACACTTATTTTCAATACGCGAGATTACGTTTTCGCTAGCCGAGATGCACTAAGAACAAATTTTCTCAGCTAATATCCAAAGCTTTTACACTATATTATAGCCAGGGGTATGTCCTAGGAGGTGATTTTTTCAAAACATATTATCTATTCAGTATTTCAGGTCCTCGGCTGTGATTTGTCTCTCATCCCCCATTTTTCGATATTTCATTTCGAAGTTTACAATATCATATTGTGGTCCGCGACTCGCGTTTCGATCTAAATAAACAATGTAACCATATCTTTATTAGTTTTGGAGAAATATTTTTTTTGTCTCCCCTAACCAAAGATTTTTCAATTTCGCGGCTATTTTTAGTAATTTTTCCATTTTTAATATGCATATGATTTACAAACCTCAGAATACATATGCATCAAAATATTACATAATTATTTGAAGTAAGTAACAAACTAGTGGGTAGGAGTAAATTGTATTTGAAGTTCTAGTTTTTGAGAAAAAAAATTCTGTCATCTCGGATGGCTTTATTTATTTTCAAATATTTTTCATAAATCAATAAATATAGAACCAAACATGTGATTCTATGTAATATTTTGATTGTGTCCTTACCAGTAGAAACATATGGCATGCATAATTAGAAGCAAAATAAACCATGAAAATATGTCAATGCTGCAACTTCTGGCTCAAATACACTTATTTTCAATACGCGAGATTACGTTTTCGCTAGCCGAGATGCACTAAGAACAAATTTTCTCAGCTAATATCCAAAGCTTTTACACTATATTATAGCCAGGGGTATGTCCTAGGAGGTGATTTTTTCAAAACATATTATCTATTCAGTATTTCAGGTCCTCGGCTGTGATTTGTCTCTCATCCCCCATTTTTCGATATTTCATTTCGCCAAATTTTCCACCAAATTACCTATCTCTGGATCTAGATACTATGTACATCTATCACATTCAGTACTCTTTTCTGGCTATAAAAACATTATATGTCGTTTTTACCTGAAAAAGTAAAAATTACGCGAAAAAAAACTCACCCCTATGTTACTTTGACCTATTTTTGACCCCATTTGACCTACTTTTTGAGATTTAAATACAGCCCCCCCCCCTCGAGAGTTTTGAATGACCTACAATATGGTACCTTACTTTTTACTGTACCTCTTCAACGTTTGAAACGCCAGGGGGGGGTCATCTGACCATTAGTGTTATGAAAAATACGTTGTACACATTAGGGTTAAATTCTGAACATTTTCAAAGAAAGGATTTCCATAATAAGTAAGATTTAATAAAGCCTAGCAAATAATTCTTGTATCTGTTGTGAAATCTTTTTGAGAATTTCGTCAAGAATTCATAAAAAGACAAACTTTATTCTCATACATATAATCACCCTATGCTTAGTGAGCGGACCTAATTTCAAGGGTGATGGTAAAGACGGGGCATGGCGCCTAAAAACCAAAGAATATTAGTACCATAATCTTTTAAGTCGTATTATTGCAGCATTAGGTGATGATATTGTGATATTTTATGCTGTTTTAGAAGTGAAAGATGTTAAACTATGCATACCGTTTGTTTTACATCCAATAAAACGAATAGTTAAGATGAAACAGTCGTTTAAAGATACAATTTGAATTTACCGCAAGAAATTACAACCTAATATTGTCAATATGTCAATAATTCCTGATCGATGTCACATATAAAGATATATGTACCTAGATATGTTTTATTTTTTCATATATGCGAAATAAGGTGGTCTCTAGTTATGTACATCCAATACAAAATGAATGTTTACTATTCGACGATCAGAATTTCGATGACGAACAATGGCGATGTAATTTGCGAAGAGGAGTGGCTATGGGCAAGCACTTAGGTGCTACGTGTACTGGTAAATTCAGCTAAAATGTACACTGTCAATTAATAAATTAATGAATTTGGGCAAGGTTGTCATAGGCTTCAATCAATGGTAAAAACTTGCAAAACATGTAGTCACTTGATTTTATGATTTATCAAAAAGTGTTGGTTGTTGAACGAATAAATAGAATAACTTAAAAGAATCTTAAAATTGTATAAATGGTAACTGGCCCACACTTTTTTTAACAAATGTTGACAAAGTCATAAAAAATCAGACGCATGACAGATGTAGTCAGAGATTGTTGATGTCAAAGGTTGTTAACATGGCAGGTGTATTCAGAAATTGTTAACATAATAAATGAAGTCAGACTTTATATACATGACAAGTGTAGTCAGATACTGTTGACATGGCAGATAGAGTCAGAGATTGTTAACATGACAGATGTAGTCAGAGGTTGTTAATATGACAGATGTAGTCAGAGATTGTTAACATGACAGATGTAGTCAGAGGTTGTTAATATGACAGATGAAGTGAGAGGTTGTTAACATGGCAGATGTAATCAGAGGTTGTTAACACTGCAGATGTAGTCAGAGATTGTTAACATGACAGATGTAGTCAGAGGTTGTTAATATGACAGATGAAGTGAGAGGTTGTTAACATGGCAGATGTAATCAGAGGTTGTTAACACTGCAGACGTAGTCAGAGATTGTTAACATGACAGATGTAGTCAGAGGTTGTTAATATGACAGATGAAGTGAGAGGTTGTTAACATGGCAGATGTAATCAGAGGTTGTTAACACTGCAGATGCAGTCAGAGGTTGTTACCATGGCAGATGTAGTTAGAGGTTGTTAACATAACAGTTGTAGTCAGAGGTTGTTACCATGACAGATGTAGTGAGAGGTTGTTAACATGGCAGATGAAGTCAGAGGTTTTTAACATGGCAGATGTAGTTATTGGTTGTTGACATAACAGATGTAGTCAGAGGTTGTTACCATGACAGATGTAGTGAGAGGTTGTTAACATGGCAGATGTAGTCAGAGATTTTTAACATGGCAGATGTAGTTATTGATTGTTAACATAACAGATGTAGTCAGGGGTTGTTACCATGACAGATGTAGTGAGAGGTTGTTACCATGGCAGATGTAGTTAGAGGTTGTTAACATAACAGATGTAGTCAGAGGTTGTTACCATGACAGAAGTAGTGAGAGGTTGTTAACATGGCAGACATTAACGATTTTTCGAATTTTCATTTTATTTGTAGGGTGTTTTTTAATTAGGTGGTGTGTTATTTCATCAAAGTCTTTTGATTTTCCATGACAGTAGTAACACTGGAATCCCACATATCTGAAAATAAACAGGATAAATGTAATCCCTATTCCACGGCTCGTCCAAACATGCTTTTATTACCATAACCATTGCTCTTCCTTTCGAGGAATCAAAATCTCCTGATTTGACTGCAATTACGGCTCAAATTGGGAAATGGATGGGTTTACGATATAAATACGTTCATCAACAATAATTACATGCAATATCAAGAAGGAATTCTATGCAGGAGAAGTATCATTATTTTGAAAATAATCGAAAAAAAAATATGCAGAAAATTAATTTTTCTTTTCACATCACTTCGTATCCGTTTCACATATAAGTATGAATCTTTCTTTCATTACGAATCTAATTATGGGCATCTGAAGCATCAGTGCACCTAGTTACAGGCCAGCACAAGGCCAATAAAGAGTAGAACTTAGAGAAATAAACTTACTGCTGGTCCGCCACAGTTAGGTTTGGGCGCCCTGCCTCGTCTTTACCATCACCCTTGAAATTAGGTCCGCTCACTAAGTATAGGGTGATAATGTATCCTAGCTATATTATTGTTACTTTATTTGCCTGATAGTAAATATATTGTACTGAGATATTATTGATGTTATCAGTGCAAATAAATATGCGAAGGAATTGTTTACATTGTTAGATGGCGCTGTTTAAACGAGTATGTCAATAACTAGAAGAAACGAGGCATTCAAATGCAAAATGTCACCACCTGCCATTTGTTACAGACGCCGAACGCCGACCAACGAACGCTTTCATATGCAAGTTTTACCAAGAAAATATTGAAAGATAAGAAAGATAAGCAAACTATCCTTATTTTTCAATTAATAAAAATACAGAAAATAATAATAAATAATTTCATCAATATCAATTATACAGGGCGTTCAATTAGTACTGATAATTCTTTTTTATTATTTCACATTTCTGATTAATTTTTCTATTGTATATTGATGAGTTTTATACTTGTTTTCTGTGAAATATACAGAAGTACACGTGTCCTTCAACAGGAAGGTGGTGCTGGGTTGAGTCAACAGTGGTTCGTGGTGGATCAGGTCTGCACGAAAAAGTTTCAAAATGACCAACTTGAAATGTGAATATTGCTCCTCGGACTATTGCTTGGGCACCAACTTGTCACACATCATTGCAATTTCTACATCATTATGAATAACATGTTGGGTGAGACCAACACTTGAATCAATCATGTCTGTAGTTTTTCTGATAGGAATTCTTCTGGTTTCATCTAATATATTTCTTTAATTACATCAATTTGACTAGGGGAAGTTACAGCTTTTGGTCGTCCCTGCCCGGGTTCATCTTCAATCGACTTTCTCCTTTGAAAGAGCGTTACCAATGATATATGGCAGAGAGGTAGATACTGTAGAGTGTCTTTCCCATAAGCTTCACTAATGTCCTTTATTGTATCCTGTTTTGATTTTTCCCAATTTCTTTTGGGGAACTCAGAACTTATTGCTGCTTGTAATTTGATGCTGAATATAATTGATTTTCTGTTCAGCATCCATGTTGTCGATGGCATAATTTCTGCTGAGTTTGTGTGATGTAATTTATTACTTATCTTAGTACATCTTAGTACCAATGTTTATTTACCGACTGTCACATTTTTAGTCGATCATTTTGAATTTTTTCGTGCAGACCTGAACCAACACGCACATTAGACTCAACCCATTACCATCTTCATGTTAGAGTACATTCTTGTCACAATGCTCGAGAATTTACAGTAAAAACGTATTCAGAAATATAAAAAGATTAAAAAGAAACAGCATTTCTATCAGTACTTATTTAACACCCTGTAAGTTATATAACTGTTTTACTTAATGTGGTAAAACCAGTATACCGAGTATAATCAATAAAAGCTTAGATAATCAACAAAAGATTCGGAAACGGTTACTATAGATTTGCTTTCGGAATTCGGACACTGAACCGATTGACCTAGATAATAGCGACGTGTCTTCTTTGGTCAACTGCTCACTCATTTGAGGGTTTTCAATTTGAAAGTAACTCTATAATGCAATGCAATTTGAAGATGAGCACTTTTATTCAGTTGTTGCATTGCTGTTGCAGTTTGTGGTGCGGAAAGGATGGAATGAAAGGGTGGAATGTCGAATGAAAATATTTTTTCCAATATGGCGACTAGTTAACTGATCACATGACCTTCTCTACCTGAATATATCCACTCTTTTCACACATTGTTTTTACAACGTGGTGAGCCAATACAATGATAAAAATATCTGATATATAAAGTTTGATAAGAGACCAATCGTTTATGATCCTTTTTTGCCAACCGCACGGGGATTCAAGATTGAACATGCGATTGAAAAATAGGTATGAAAATAAGGTAAGAATTTGTTCCTCCACGAATTGCATCATTCATAGGTAACATTTTGTCCATATAAGGAAAGAATTCCGTGTCTCCTCGTTTGAAGAGCGAACCACGAAAAAGAGAATTGAATAAGAATGGCTTCCAACAAAATTCCTGGAGATAAGCAATTGATTTGGCCATTCCACGGGTTAGAAACATAAGTTTGAAAATAACTCATGTGCAAATTTCCAGACATTTCTTGACGATATTGTATACAGGTGTGAAAGAAATCATGGTCCCCCAGGGATAATGGTCCCCCTTTCAAAGACCCTTGCTGGCCCTGAATGTGTATAAGATAATAAGGGAGAGAGGTCACCATATAAATCAATGGAAAGTACGACCATAAATTAATAGGACCTCCTACCCTTTTACACCGGTTCTTTCATAACATTTTACGTTCCCATTCCGTGATCAAGGGTAGTAGTGTCAGGTGTTTTTAACAATTGGTTGTCTCATAACATTTAACGTTCCCATTCCGTGATCAAGGGTAGTAGCGTCAGGTGTTTTTAACAATTTCAGTCATGACAACATCACAAAAGTATGTTACGTGGTCCTGAGACTTCTCAATTACTGCGCTAAGTTTAGCTGGATGAAAGAATACTTTGTCCACATTGACAGGAAAATGGACCCATGGCTTGTTTCTTAGCTCTGTGTAATCTTTGAAGTATGATCCAGGTATTATAGGTGGACGTTCCTCTGCGATACAGTTTAGTATTGTCGGAACAGCTATTTCTAACCATACTTTGTTTTTCCAGAATATTGTTGAGAGTTCAATATATTCTCTTGCATATTTGCTAGGGACGTAGTATATATCAGCGAGGCCCCGGTTTACTCTGTGGGCGGCTCCGTTGCGACACTTCAAATTCTCCAAGCATTCATGTACCACTTGCGATGATTTTGAGACATGCTGGAGGTGTTCAAGGGCATCTAGTGTCGCGAATCTAAATGGAGGCCACCAAGTCCACTTGGTTGCGTAGCAGAACCAATCCTCGAGACTGTTGTCATAGGTGCATTCTTTCGTTTTCTTCTCAGAGAGATCACCTATCAACTGTGGTGAGCTCCATGGGATATTCTTGGGAAGACGTAAATTCCAAAAATTAAACATAACGTCATCACCTAAGAATATATATCCGGTGACGTTGAGCTTGAGAGAGAATGCCATCGTTAGGCATTCATAGTTTGCAGCACCGTCTAAACGACCCCTCGGAGACCTCCCATATGAAATAAATGATATACTTAACCATTGAATAATTTTCTGAGGTAGTTCTCCAGGCCCGCAATACAGTATCTTTGGAAATGATGTTCTGTACATAGTCTCCAATAAAGGAATCACTTCATAGTGGGCTGTATTGAAAACTATCAATAGAGCCACGTCGCTATAGTTATTGTATCTGCGATAATCTTCTTGTGTTTCATGCCGATGATTCAGTTTTCTCCGAGAATGCTCCGGACATGTGTGTTTATACACTGTTTCTAAGTATTCCAGTTGGTTTGGTGGGATTTCTAGATTATTTGTGATGTTTGATATGACCGGTTGGATTTTATTGAAAGGTCCCCAGTGATCACCTTTCTTTGATTGTACATCTTTCTTATATTTGATGATTTTCGGAGCCGAGCGTTTGGGGGCTGTCTTAATGAATATCGGTACTTTTCCAAGGTCTACTTTTCCCTGAAATGTAGTAAAAATGAAACAAAATATTTTATTAGTTCTAGAAATATTTTGTCAATGTGTCTGGTCTGCTATTGTCCAAGTTCAGAAAGAAACTATCGACAGAGGAATGTTTTCTCTGCCTGCCGTACATGGAACTCTTTGGTGAGTTTTCATGTTCGAATCGTAATATCGACCTCAGAGCAGGGATAATATCGTCGAATACACCCCTTAGGACCAGGATGAAAAACCTTTCGCACAGAAAACGTTTGTGCCTAGCCCTGCGGGATGTATTCGACGATATTACCCCTGCTCTGAAGTCTATATTTCTTAACTAAAACTATAAAAATAATGCATCACAATGTTCGTATCCCGTACCACAAACTTCATACACATCAATGTCTAGTGCTCATGTCTAATGAATTACAACATCCATGAAGCTTAATTCGAGAATTTCTATTAAAGTACAGACAAAAAGTTATCCAAAGGTTTTAACCTTTAAATCACATATTTGGGTGTTTTACAAAAGTTTAAATCATTTTGTACCCCTCTCTACACATGCCGAACACAATTTTAAAATAAGATTAGAGTTTATTCAGAATTTGTGTAACTATAATCATTGAATAATTCATGTAGAATGCCTCAGTTCATGAAATAATAATTTAAAAGTAGTTATATGCATAGCTGATATCTTAATATTCGGAAGATGTAATAAACATATTTTAATTAACTAAAGTATCTTACCAGCTGAAGAATAAACACTAATACTAGTACATTAGTAGATCCCAATAGCAGTATAAGCAATAGTTTATGCTTCATATTACATACTCTCAGAAAACCAAACGGTATATATCGTCCGGGGATAACGCATGAAATATACTATAAAGTGTTGCATCGTACAGGGTGTTCAAAAAAACGCAACCCAAAGAAATTGCTATATCTTGAAAAATACTAGTTCAATTATGTTCATATTTTCAGGAAAGAAAGAAGAGACTGTGTATGTATAGCTCTTGTAGTTGGTTAGTTGTAAAACATGATGCACTGGACACCTGCTCAAAAGACATTTGTACTAGGAAAATACGAAAAACCGAGTCAGGGCTGACTGCAACCTCAAAAAAACTAAATAACTTCCTAGCCATAGTGTTTTGGTTTTTCAAATTTGGCACAAATCATCTTCATTCACTGTATGATAAATCTGTAAAGTGAAATTAAAATCACTTCAATTCAGGGACTTTACAGTAATGGTCGAAATGCTTTCAAATCTCAGTCAAACGCCCTGGTTCTGGCAGACTTCAGAAGGCATTTTGACCATGACTGTAAAGTCCCTGAAGTGATTTTGATGAAACTCCACAAATTGACAACACATTGAATGAGGATAATTTGTGCCAAATCTGAAGTGCCAAAACACTATAGTTAGAAAGTTGTTAGGTTTTATTGCTGTGGCGTCACCTCTGACTGTGTTTTTCGTATTTTCCTAGAACAACTGTCTTTTGGGCAGGTGTCCAATGCATCATGTTTTACAACTTACTAACAACAGGAGTTATACATACACAATATCTTCTTTCTTTTCATGAAAAAATGAACATAACTGAATAAGTATTTTCCAATATATAGTGATTTTCCATTCACGTTTTTCGTATTTTCCATGTCCGACTGCCTTTTGGGCAGGTGTACAGGACATCATGTTTTACAACTAACTAACATCAGGAGGTGTACATACATAGTCTCTTCTTTCTTTCCTGAAAATATGAACACAATTGGATAAATATTTTCCAAGATATAGCGATTTCTTTGGGCTGCGTTTTTTTATTTGAACACCCTGTACATAATTAATGTGTCTCATTGAGGCCGATCAGCGAATCGATATGTAGTCAGTTTTTCATGTCTGGTTTGCTGTCATGTCTTTGCTGTGAGCACAACGCAATAGGCAGGTAATAGGTATACTGTTTGATGTAAGCTCATTGATACCACAGCAACCTATATTCAAAAGATCAAGTTACTAATGGTCCATGTTTCACTCAACACTGATATTATATCCCAGCATTATAAATAACATTTATGAACCGTACTGATGTTAATAAAAGAAAAATAAACATTAACGTTTATCAACAGAAATTCAAAATTCAAATTCGCGGGAAATGTGACTGCAAAAGTTTTCGACCGCAGAAATTCTACGGCGATCGTAGAAATGTTACTGACATCAGAAATAATAGACCGTACTGTCCCGTAGGAAATGTGACTGGGGTGTTAGACGTTAAATGTTAAGAAACCTTTGTGTGGTAAAACCATTATAATGGAACAACGATATTTCGGATTGTTCAACATTTAGGCCGTTTTCAATAACTTCAAAACTGAATAAAACTTGCTTCAAACACATTTCTGGAGAAAAGAAAATGATTTGGCCAATGGGTGGGTTAGACCTAAAGTTTGAAAACAAATCTTGCGCGAAATTCCAGACTTTTCTCGACGATATCATAGGCTATTCTCTCATAACATTTTACATTCCCATTCCGTGATCAGGGGTAGTAGCGTTAGGTGTTTTTGACAAATTCAGTCATGACAACATCACAAAAGTATGTTACGTGTTCCTTAGACTTCTTACTGCGCTACGTTTAGCTAGATGAAAGAATAGAGAGATTAAGCTACACGTATAAATGCAAACCGTGAACCTGAACGCCTAAGTCCACGCTCAAGTACACGTTAAAGAAAATTTTCAGTTAAGCTACACGTCTGAAACCATGTCAGTGGACGTGGAGCTATATTTATGTGGCGACTGTGTCTAAATGGCATGTCTCTATGGTGTAATGGATAGCACTTCGGCAATCTAGCACTTCACGTAAGTCCGTTAGGCCTGGGTTCGAATCTTGTCGCAATAAAACATTTTGCTTTTTATTTTTTATTTATTTCATATTCAACCACAATTGAAGGGTCTAGTGCACTTTCCATTATGATTTCCCCATGAACAAAATGAATCATTTTTAACTGTATATCATAAAGAATACATTGTCACATAATACTTTGAAAAATATTTAAGCGTTTAGACCCACATTGGCTGAGGTTGAGGTCATTAAGTTCTGCAAGGGTATATTGACTTGACATTGGATGTGTTCTATTGACTTAACATGTGGATACCATCAGATTCCGATGGAGGCCATTGGTTTCTATTGATTTTCCCAAAAATACACTATGACCTGAATTGATTGCAAATTAAATAATTTCACAATATGACACAAATGGTATATCACATCAGATGTGCAAATATAAAGTTTGCAATTTATTCAGGTAAAACTTCAAATTAAAAGATAATACATTTTTTCATCATTTTCATCATTTTTTCCTACAAAATGGCTATAGAAAAATGCTTCAAAAGCAACTTTTACACTTACAAAATCACATACAACTTTGTAAATACAAAGATTATACTGTTATGTTTCATTAATAAATAACATATTTGGAAAAGATGTAGGGATGTGTAGGTTGCAAATGGATTTTGGCAGACACAAAAAGGCTTCATGGTTTGGCATCTCAACCCCTGTACACTTTATGATTGAATATTGGCCCTAATAAGTGGCTCATTCATCAATACAGTGCTGAATACTAGTGTACATATAAATGAAATAATAAAAGCAGTATATTTATTTTGAAAAATCAGATGAATTTATTTTTGTTCATGGGGAGATCATAGCACACTAGATCCTTTCTTGCCCTGGTTGTCATTTCATTTCGTTTAGTATACATATTGTACTAAGCCCCGGGCATCAAATTGGTCTTGCCAATTTATATTGTACGGAATGAACAAGCAATCACATTTCAAGTTGTCATTTACCAATTAAAATGTATTCTTATTTCCAATTAAGGATTGGGGTTTACCAATATAACAAGCAAGATTGTCTGTGTCAAATATGGGCTCCAGGGCCATCCTAGAACATAGCTAAAATCAATCTTGTAATGAGCGACCGTGTAATCACTCATCTACACGTAAAAACCTGTAACTTTCACGCTTACCTGAAGAAAGTAGACTAATCTGACGTAATTTTCCCGCGCGCGCATAGAAGTACACGTTCATGCTTTGTTGAATACGCGTCTGTAAATTGCACGAATATGGTAATCTCATGTAAAAACCTGTAAACTTCACGCTGGCCCACAGGAAATAAACAAATCTGACGTCATTTATCCGCGCGCGCATTGAAGTTCACGTTCAAGTTTTGTTAAATACGTGTAGCTTAACCTCTCTAATACTTTGTCCATATTGACGGGGAAATGGACCCATGGTTAGCTCTGTGTAATCCTTGAAGTATGATCCAGGTATTATAGGTGGACGTTCCTCCGCGATTAAGTTTAGTATTGTCGGAACAGCAATTTCTAACCATACTTTGTTTTTCCAGAATACTGTTGAGCGTTCAATAAATTCTCTTGCACATTTGCTAGGGACGTAGTATATATCAGCGAGCCCCCGGTTTACTCTGTGGGCGGCTCCGTTGCGACACTTCAAATTCTCCAAGTATGCATGTACCACTTGCGATGATTTTGAGACATGCTGGAGGTGTTCAAGGGCATCTAGTGTCGCGAATCTAAATGGAGGCCACCAAATCCACTTGGTTGCATAGCTAAGCAAATTTTTGAGACTGTTGTCATTATGTACATTCTTTCGTTTTCTTCTCAGAGAGATCCTCAATCAACTGTGGTGAGCTCCATGGGATATTCTTGGGAAGACGTATATTCCAGAAATAAAACATAACGTCATCACCTAAGAATATATCTCCGGTGACGTTGAGCTTGAGAGAGAATGCCATCGTTAGGCATTCATAGTTTGCAGCACCGTCTAAACGACCCCTCGAAGATTTCCCATATGAAATAAATGATACACTTACCATTGAATAATTTTCTGAGGTAGTTCCCCAGGCCCACAATACAGTATTTTTGGAAATGATGTTCTGTACATATTCCCCAATAAAGGAATCACTTCATAGTGGGCTGTATTGAAAACTACCATATACTGTGGATAGATGCAGTCTTTTTGAATGTTGACATTTTTCAAGGTCGACCTTTTTATATTTTAGACTGACTTAAATTTTTCAAAATCATCTACATGATTTTAGAAGTTCAAATTTGACTTTATATTTGAGATTTGACCATCAATGACCTTTTCAAGGTAAAAAAAAGGTCAAAAAAATTTTCAACTTGCTTCAAATTGACCAATTTTTTTTCAAAATCATCTACAAGTTATCAGAAGTTCAAATCTGACTTTAGATTTGAGATTTGACCTTCAATGACATTCTCAAGGTCAAAAAAGGTCAAAAAGGTATTTTAAACTTGCTTCAAATTGACCAATTTTTTTTCAAAATCATCTTCAACCTCTCAACAGTTCAAATCTGACCATAGATTTGACCTTCAAAGGCATTCTCAAGGTCAAAATAGATTTCACCTTCAATGACCTTCTCATGGTCAAAAAAGGTCTTTTTTCAACTTGCTTCAAATTGACCAATTTATTTTTTCAAAATCATCTACAAGTTCAAATTCAAATCTGACTTAAGATTGAACTCATAATATTGTTAATGCCTTGTTTGTTGTTTAAAATGTTTTTAAGAAATATTTTGTCAATGTATTTGGTCTGCTATCGGAGTCTGATAAAGTCCAAGTCGAAAGCTACATTTGTAGAATCGATCGACAGAGGAATGTTCTCTCTGTGTCAGCCTTACGTGCAGAATTTTGGGAATTCTCATCGTGGTCACAATAATGACTGATACAATAGAAATAGTGACCTTCTGGGTAGATCACAATGTTCGTATTCCGAATCCCGTTCAACAAACTTAAGTTTAATGTGGACCTTAACAAGGTCCAAATGAAAGATCCTCCGACAGTACATGCCTAACACAATTTTAAAATCACATTAGATT